TAGGAAGAGACGCTAAGGCTGGTACAGTATATGTCCAAGTCGATAATGCTATGAACCTTCCTCGACTGACTTGCCTCCTTTGTCTAACACCTTTCGCCTAGTCTCAGCATTGCTCGCATGATGGCTCCATCAACCTCAAACAATGCTACGAAGACATCTGTGATCAAAAACTTGCAAGCACTTCATTTCTTCTACTTTTAGCAGTCATGTCTCACAGCCGTATAAGAGAACAGAACGAACTTCAGTGCAGTATACTCGTCCTTTAATAGGTATTCGGATATCTCACCGGCGCCACAAGTCAATCAAATAAATTGCAGTATTCATCGTACACTGACATCAGTTGGAGGAACAGTGGAAACCTGGGAGCACTGGACAGTTTTTTCATCCTAATATGGGACTCTTCAGCAGTGAACACAAACGACTCCACAACCTTCAGGTTCTGTGACCAGCACATCACCATTGAGCCAGTGGGTCAAAATTCAGTGGTCCATATTTCCAACTTCTGTCAGTTCACGACATAGCGCCACCGCCACCTAATGTCACCGTTGAATAGTTGTGCTAATGGCCATCAGATTCGCTCCCACTGGAACTTCAGGAATCACCTAACAAAGCTAGTCACCAATGAGTGTCGTAGATGATGAATACCAACTTGAAATATCTCTAAACCCTCCACAAACTCCTCAAAATTCAAATTGCAATAGTTACAAACTAACTATCACTAATTAGGTGAATAAGTGAACCTGAAATGAAAGGTAAAGGTTAATAATAGTGATTGTAAAAATTAAAGATAAGGTAAAAAGAGGTATACTTTTTCACAAAATCATTTATCTAGTCGCAGATACCACTTACAAGATTCATCTTTTATACTAGAATTAGTTTAATAGTATACAAAAGTTATAAGTAGATAAAATATACTTTATCATTAGTTTGCATATTTATTGTAGAAATATTTATCAGACATTCCCACTTCTAACTGACTTTAATATATAAGAACTAAGATTATATAAGTTTACAAATGAAAATGATGTTCATACATCTATTCTACATATGAACTGGGAGAGAAAAACAATTTTCTTTTTAACTGAATACAACTAGGTCACTATATTTCTCAAGTTGTTATTCATTGTAGACTGACATGAGTTGGAGGAACAAAGGAAACCTGGGAGTATTGGACAGCTGTTTCGTCCTAGTATGGGACTCCTCAGCAGTGCGCATCCACGACCCCACCAGCAGGGATCGAACCCGCGACCTTCAGGTTCCGCGACCAGCGCCTCACCATTGAGCTAGCCACTGGGTCAGAATCCAATGCTCCATATTTCCAACTTCTGTTAGCTCACGATATATAGCGCAAACCGCCACCCAATGTCATCGTTGAGTATTTGTCCCCATGGCCATCAGGCTTTGACTCCCCCGGTCACGACTTGTCATTGGAACTTCGGGAATACTTCTCGAAGCTAGTCACCAATGAGCACCAGTTCAATTAAATTTTGAGGGAGTTGTCAGTCTTCGATGAATAACAACTTGAAATATTTCCAAATCTCCACAACCCCCTCACTATATTTCTGTCTATCTTCTCTTTAAATGCACAAAAGTTAATATGACCAAAATAAACAGGAATGAATAATTGTTAATATAATTTACTATTAGTAGATGTTTCTTGTTGAAAAATACATTTTCCATATAAACAAACTAAGGTTCACCGTGAAACCTGAAGGTCCTGAGTTCGACCCCTAGTTGGGTAGTGGGTGCCTACTGCTGAGGAGTCCCATACTAGTTGGACGAAACAGGTGTCCAGTGCTCCCAGATTTTCAATGGTTCCCCAACTGATGTTAGTCCATGATGAATACTACTCCTAAATTAAAAAAATCCCCATTCATCTCAAAAATACACTACTCTATAGTGCTCATTAGTGACTTGCTTCCAGATGGATGTTAAGAAGTTCTAATGAGAAGCCGTGACCTGTGAGGTCAACCAGTCGGAAGTGAAGTGGGTGCTAACTGAAGACTTTAGGTGATAGTCACGCTATGTCGTGAATTGACAGAAGTTGGAAATTGTGAACCACTGGGAACCAACCCAGTTGCTGAATGGTTAACAGGTTCGCCGTGAAACCTGAAGGTGGTGAGTTTTATCCGTAGTCGGGTCGTGGGTGAATACTGCTGAGGATTCCCATACAAGTCGGACAAAACAGGTGTCCAGTGCTCCCAGATTATCAATGGTTCCCCAACTGATGTCAGTCCACGGTGAATACCACTTCTAAGGTTTATTTAGTTGGAAGCATTGAATACTAACTGACAATCCTTTAGATGAGGATTCTAATAGTTAGCTCTAACTTTTTTCAGGATGAATGCTCTGATTTCATACCGTTCATATGATATTATACTCTAGTATTAAAGTTATTCTATCCAACTGCAAACTGTATCCTTTAAGTGCAAGGTGACATTTCAGCTTGGACAATCACCTTTTATACTTATCATTCATTCATAGTTTAACTTGACTGAATGATGAGTAATTTCAAAAAGATATTTTATATATTCCACTTAAACACATTCAACTTACACAGAGTCATCCTAAGCATTCAAAGGGTAATTATGCTTAGTAGAAAAATATAGATTAACTTAACAACTATATACTACAAGCTGGTACACTACATTCTTAACTTCTTATGGCAGAGCTAACTGACCATATAAGTTCATGGTATCAGTTTTATTGTTTAGTCTACTAATTTACTCAATGTGAGACTTCATTTCAGAAAATCCTCACATTTCAAGCTTGCCTTCTTTTCATTTACTTAATTTCTTACTCTGTTAAGTCACTAATCCAACATCTTACACACCTATATCTCATCATCATCATCAATATCAACATAGGACTAGGCATTACTCACTGCGTAACGGTCCAGCTTGCCACACCTCATATCACTACATCAAGTAAAAAGTTGGTGAGCTGAAAGATGAAGATAAGAAAATTCAGTCAAAAGAAATATAAAGTACGAGAAGAAAGAAAGGAAGAATGACAAAATGGTGAGATTCGGTATAACGTCGTTAGGACAAGGATAATCTATGTATACATCTTCGCCACTGACATCGGTTGTAAGCCATATCACCTAGAGTTTCCAGACACTAGTTCCTCTTGTCCCGCGGACCCCAGCCAACTAGTCTGTATCGCCCCCCTACATCGCTCAAACCAACAGTCAGAGACTTCATACATTGGTGCCATGTTTTAGTCTGCCACCTCAGGCCTTTCTCCAGCCTGGACCCACCTCAGCCAACATTGTGTGACTAGGCAATCGGTGACTAGGCATACGTAGTACGTGTCCCAACCATCTCAGTCGATGAAGGTTCACAACCTCGTCAACTGACTTACCTCTTCTCCCTAAAACTCTACACCTGACTTCTGCATTACTCACATGGTGACACCAGGGAATACGTCCTATACTACGAAGGCAAAGGTGGTCAAATACCTGTAACCTTCTCATGTCTTCCACTTTCAATGGCCATGTTTCACAGCCATACAGTAGAACACACCGGACTGCTGTGCAGTACACGCGACCCTTAATAGACAAACGAATATCACGGCAGCGCCATAGGTGGCGCAAATTTGCAAAAGCCAATCGAGCCTTTTGTATCCGTGCAGAAATCTCATCGGCAACCAACCCACCGGGGTTGATTCTACTCCCCAGGTAAGTGAAGTGGTCGACACACTCAACCACTTCACTCTCTATTGTTAGCCATGGCACCACTGAAGACCAATCCTGGAGCAAAAATTTACATTTGGGTGGTGAGAACCGTATCCCAAACATTCTCAAATTCGTACTCAAAGTGTTCAGAAGACACCAATGTCTACAGACACCCAAGAGGAAAAGTAATAGATTCTACGAATCAAGTAAACATGTCCATACCACATTATATCAGGTTATCTTTGCCTAAAATCTTGAGCATCTTAAGTCATTATGCCCTTTTTTTCTAAATACTCATAAAGTCTTTCATCTATGTCGATATTTTTTTCTCACTACGCTATTTGGAAAAGTGTCACTGTAAAAATTGGAGTTAGACTGCTTAGCCATGTACTTGGTTTCGATTAATAAAATGAAGAATTATAACTGGTAATTTAGTTGGTTTGGCTAGCAGAGGAATCCAGGACGCGCGTTTTGTCCCATTTGGAACTCACTGGTCAGCTGGATATACCTGCACCTCAGTGCAGAGTGATGTTGTTCCCATTGAGACTAGAACCTCATACCCATGGTTTCAAACGCCAAGGCGTTATTCACTATGTCATGGAGTAACGATAGTCACTTCTTGTACAACGGGTGGTAGTTATTACTAATTATTGATATATACTTGTAATTCCCCATTGTTCTATCGGATCGAAATGTTCGACGTGTATTGGCATATGGGTTCCTATGCAGATGCCTCTATATTGCCTGAATGTTAATTATGGTAATTTGGTTGGTTTCGACTAGCAGAGGAATCCAGGATATGCGTTTCGTCCTATTTGGAACTCACTGATCAGCTGAATGTACCTGCAACTCAGTGCGGAGTGATGTTGTTCCCACTGAGAGTCGAACCTCGTACTCGTTGCTTCAAACCCCAAGTAGTTATCCACTATGCCATCGAGGAACGATAGCCATTTCTTGATGAGTCCCAAATAAGTCGAAACGTGCATCTTGGATTCCTTTGCTAGCCACAACCAACTAAATTACCATAATTAACATTCAGGTAATATCGAGGCATCTGCTTATGAGCCCATATCTCAATAGATTTTTACTCAAATCAACAATGAAGTTTTATTAATTAAGCGAGGTATGAAAATAGTTCCAAACTTCCCTTTTTAATACGATATTACCTCAACTCCATGTTTTTAGGGATGTATGCAAACTATCCAGTCAAAAGAATTCAAACCACTGTAAACCAATTAAATTTAAGGAAATGAAACTTAATAAGTGAAATACCATTTCATAGTAGATTATAAAATGTTGAAAAACAATCATCATAGTAACTTACCACTATGACGGCGTGAACCTGAATACCCAGTGTGACCTAAAAATAAATCGAAGGTAAAAAAACACTAGAAATTTATAACCTACTTATCGTTAACATATAAAACAACAAATAAAAGAAATGCCACAACATAACAAACGAAAATGAAGTGAACAAAGTCAAATAAAATAAATATCATGCATATATTCTCTCCTTTATGACTTTGACACAAGAGGCAGGGCAGTGAAGATGGGACTTCAAGTGAACGTAGAAAAGACAGAGGTGATGAAGATACCCAAACAACAACAACAACAACAACAACAACGAGTTCCAATCACCATCAACGGGAGAAACTTAAAGGAAGTAGCCTCTCTCACCTACACCTACCTAAGCAGCATCGTTTCAACTACAGGTGGCGGCACAGACAAGGATGTCAAAGCCAGCCAGGATCGGAAACACAGCAAGACAGGCGTTCAATCAGCCTGAAACCAATGTGGACATCTTCTACACTCCACTCAGCATGTGGAACAACATCCGGATTTTCAACACCAAAGTCAAATCAGTGCTCCTGTATGGCTCAGAGACTAGGCGCTTTACGAAAGGGATTTCCAACAAACTTCAGACACTCATCAACAACTGTTGATGCTGGCTCACTACTGAAGATCAGATGGCCGGAAAGAATAAGCAATAAGGAACTCTGGCATGGCAACGAACCGGCCAAGAAGCTATCACTCAACAAATATGCACTGGAAGGAAGTGTAGATGGATTGGGCAATCACTGAGAAGGCCGAGTGGGGACATCACGCGTCAGGCCAGTTGGTGGAGTGGAACCCCCATGGGAAGCGACGAGTTGGGCGTCTGAGGCTAGGGTGACATGGAGAAGATCGTGTGAAGAAGAAATGAGAGCTTTTGGGCATTGGTGGAACCAGGTTCAAAAGACCGCAGAGAAGAGAGTGGAATGGAGACGTGCTACTGAATCCCTATGTTCCATTAGGAACCCAAGGGACAAATAATAATAATAATAATGACTTTGAAAAGAGTAAGAACAACAGTGAGAGTAAGATAAAATGGATCCAGTTGATTTCGGTAGTGTCCTGTCAACTGCTTACAACTCATAGACTATCAAAATGCATAGTTTTACCAAAAATCCAACATACTCTAATTCACTGAGAGAAAACACAATATCGGTCAGTGCCTAAGACGGATGTGAATAGGTATACAGTAAGTGGCGATCTGACGTGACGTAAAATAAATGATAACAAATCACAATTATAAAAGTAGTTCAAATGAAAATTTTCACCAAGAAGATTAGCATTAAACGATTACGTAACTACTTCGTTGTAGAAATGATGACCAGTAACAAAAGCAGACAATGTACACTAATTTTCTTTTCAACGAAAGAACACCAATAAATATAAAGTTCAAGCGTTTGACGTTTTACGACCACTAACATTTGGCTACGAATGCTGCGTCAGTAACCTTGGTAACATCGCTAGAAGTGAAGCGTAATCAGATATTGTACAAATTTCAACTTTATGTCTATACCAACCCTCAGTGTTTCGTCCAACTGCAAGTTGACAGACGGACAGATAGACACAGAGAGATTTTCATCCCATCTCTTGACCATCTTTACATTAAATTATGTTGAGTCACATTGGAAAAGAATCCCTGTTGAAGTGAAACTGTGCTGTTTGTTACTAACAATCTGCTTGTCCATTGATTCGATTGGTAACTTTTCCACTGGTTAATGGACAGTTGTTTTATTCTTAAACAGATTGTAGATTGGATCTGTATCCACTTGTTTTCTGACTGATATTTATTCTTAATAATGAGGCTTTCAGGGATCTTGTCATTGCTTTTGAGCCTACTCGTTGTAGGATTTCTACACCTGTGTAATGAGAGTTGTGATTATGATTGTCCATGTGAATCAAAGCAAAGGACGATGGATTATGTCATTTTCATCCTAGCTTGTTTATCATTGCAATAACTGTGAATTCAGATACTTAGATCAAACCAGTCACCTAGGGTCACTTAGGCCACTTGAGCAAAAAGGCTTTAGTGAATACTGATTGATATACTCAGGTAACATTATGAAGAACTAGATAAGTTAAGTAACGGCTATTGCATACAATAACACACAACTACATGATAGGATCAGACAGAGTGATAGTTGTGAAAACTAGTTAGATTGGGTGCAGCGAGAGGAAATTAGGCAAACAAACAATATACACATGAAATAGGAATGATTCAGAAACTGACTCAAATCCAGAACTACATAGACACTATCTCACAGTTGTTAGGTTACGGAAATAAGACTATGAAAAATGAATTACGCCTAACATCTTTGTTGAGCAAGCAATACTGTTCCACTGTGAGATACAAAGATTACCCGCAATACTATCTTGATCAGTTTAGTTGCTATCTTGTTAAGAGAATTCAGGGACGCAAGTTAAGCAGTAAATTGACTTAGCACACCATCTTTTGTTTTGATGCACATGGACAATCATAATCACAACTCTCATTACACAGGTGTAGAAATCCTACAACGAGTAGGCTCAAAAGCAATGACAAGATCCCTGAAAGCCTCATTATTAAGAATAAATATCAGTCAGAAAACAAGTGGATACAGATCCAATCTACAATCTGTTTAAGAATAAAACAACTGTCCATTAACCAGTGGAAAAGTTACCAATCGAATCAATGGACAAGCAGATTGTTAGTAACAAACAGCACAGTTTCACTTCAACAGGGATTCTTTTCCAATGTGACTCAACATAATTTAATGTAAAGATGGTCAAGAGATGGGATGAAAATCTCTCTGTGTCTATCTGTCCGTCTGTCAACTTGCAGTTGGACGAAACACTGAGGGTTGGTATAGACATAAAGTTGAAATTTGTACAATATCTGATTACGCTTCACTTCTTTATGAAGTTATTTCTGGTGATGTTATCAAGGTTGTTGATCAAACGTTTCCAACCAAATACCAAAGCTTATGGGGCAGTTGAGTGTTGTAATATTTTTTGCACAAACGAAAGATCATCACGAAAAAGTATTGGATAATATTTCAAAGTAACCTTGCCTAGTTTACTAGTTCACCAGTTTACTACGCGGTTCTAAGCCGGATAAAGAGGGAAGGTTGGGAGTGGGGCTAGCAACCCCAGCCCGGAAAGTCAGTAGAATCCTTTAAAAAAAATTCAAAGTTAACATAAACTTATTCTTCACCTACTATCACCGATGATCTTCCTGAATGTCGTAGACTGGACTGAGTCATGCAACAAACTGTGAGGAGCTGTAAGAAGATGGGCATATGCTGTTTGACCGATGAAAATACCTGACATGATTCGGATTTTGCTAACGATGATGATTCATATCTAATGTGTTGTCGCACAAACTCGAAGATCTACAGGTGAAAACTAACAAGTTAACAGAAAAGGCAGCGTAGAGGGGATGTCAAGACTAACGATGCGGATGCCACTCGATGGCCTGGACTGGCCTAACGTGTGATGTATACAAACTGTCTTCCTTCTCAGTGTATGTCCAATCCAATCTATGTGAACCTCAGTGTGGGCATTTGTTTGGCGAGAGCTTCTTGTTTCGTTGCCAGAATTCCTTGTTGCTTATTCTCATTATTCTATCCATCTGATCTGATCTTCAGTATTGAGTGAGTGTAGGCGTAGGCAGCAGCTGTTAATGAATGTCTGTAGTTTGTTAGAAATGCTTTTCGTGACGCGCTAAGTCTCTCAACCACACCAACCGGTGTCAGTCCATTATAAATACCAATCTGAAACCAATAAGTATATCCTTACAAACCTCTATTCAGTAACTAAACTGAATTTTCATGTGAAAAGTTAACTATAAACACTACTTAAGACGGGTAAAAAGTCTGCTTTTTTATATACACTTTTTGTATCAGTGTTTTAAGTCATATTTCTCCGTATTCAGCTCCCCGACCGACTCGATGTCTCTGAGGAAGGCCTTGATGTCCCGATCCTCGAACATTACAGGCCACGGAATCTTCAGCACGTCCAGAAATAGCGACACCAATTGAATAGTAACGAGAAGACCAATGAGAAGGAAGGTATGTGGTACAGTAGTCGTTACATATGGTACACCTTGCACTAAGACAGTCATTTGCAAAACATACTTCATTTCCTCTTCTACTTCTCTCTTGATTCTTTCTTCATACACCTGCGTTGTCTCTTGAGTTTCTTTTAGTAGAATCCTTACCCATTGTTGGCAATTTCACTATGATTTCTGCCACCCTCTCAACATATACTACTTATATCTATTCTTATCAGCAACGCCCATTACAATACCACTCATAGTTTAATTCTCTAATTACTTATGGAGACTAATATTGATTGAAATAATTTCATATTCTGTTGATAAGTCTCGAAGAGGATGAAATACTTATGATCATCAATACTAAATGATTACCTTGATTCTTAAACTAGATGTTATCTGAGAGTCAATATGCGAAGTCTAAGAGTTACACAACTAATTTTGACCTTCAACTCACTCTATAATTTAAATGATGCACGTAAAAAGTTCAAACTTTTCAACACGTTATTCTTTATAGAAAGTTTATACAAAACTCAATGATTCATTTATCCATTCAATTGTGACCTTATCTTAGGTTATTCCTTTCTCTTTTTCTCACAGTATGTATGTTGACCTTTTTAACAGTTAGGGTTTGGCAGACTTTTATTGATACTGAGTGATGATTGAAGGTGAAGTGAAAATTTGTTCCTAAGCAAGATTCAAACTAGTGAATAAGTTAGCATCTGTACCACAGAGTTATGCGTTTGATGCCTTGATTCATATTTCTGTTTATACATAGAACTGAAGTTCTTATTTAGATTTATAAGTACTTAATTATTATTCAATCACTGAAGATGTGCTAATGTAACTGTTAATATAAACAATGCGTAAAGCTCACTTTCATGAATGTTAAAATAATTCACTATTCTCCAGATAAGAAGTTTATGTTAGTGTCATGTAGAAAAGTGAAGGTAGCTGAAAAATTCAGATCTGTAAGATTTTTAAAATGTTACCGCCTC